TCGATTTTCGCGGGGAGGGGGAGTTAGGGGAGCTGGTGAAGCTGAGGTGGGGGGGCGTCCCTGGGTTTTCTCTGCGAGGATGGCGGGGGATTGAGGAACGAGTGGGGGAGACCTTTCTTCGCTCCACGAGGAATGGGGGTGTGGGGCGCGAGCGCGTGGAGGTGAAGGGGCTCGCTGGGCTGTTCTCGAAGGGGATGCTGCGGGGGGGGCGGGGTGAGAGCGGTGGGGGTGGGGTGCAGGCAGAATGAGGAGGAGGGGGAGGGTCCGCTGTGATTCTTCGCTGTACAGGGATGGCGAGTGGGGGTGGGGAGAGGGGGTATTTCAGCTCCTGCGTGGAACCTAGAGAAGCAAGTGGAAGGTTCCGTCACGTGGGTTGAGCCTCAGGAGGTGGATTTTTAAAACTGCAGGGTGTGACCTTTCCGTCTCAAGAAGCGTGGAAATCCCTACAAGGTGCCGTCTGTTCCTAGGCTCTGAGAGAGCGATTTCTGCTTTCGAAGTTTCTTTTTCTCTCCCACGCCTGCCGGCCTCTTCCCAACCGCCCAGGACTAGGTAGAGATTTAAAAATTTGCAAGCAGAGACTGGTGCGTGTTCAGTGCTCTATTATTTTCTGCTTTGGGGACTGCGCGAGTTTCTCGGGTTTGTTTTGATTGCCCTTTACAATAAAAACCCTGTACCAGGGAGACCCCTGGGGAAAGGAAGAGAACACGGTTTATTAAAGGGACTCCAAGGTTTGGATTTTGAATTTCCTGAAGGGCTAGAGATACGTTGTGTAGCGTTTCGCTTGGCTTTCAGCGGGGTAGAAAGAATCAGAGGATGCCTTTACTGACATCCCTATATTCATTAAGTTATTCCTTCGAGATTATCTGAGCCCCCTTTGGTTTGCATTTGGAATAGATCCAGTATGCCTAATTGGGGCCATCATTTTGTAATTGCCTGTAATTCTTCCCTGGGTTATCAAATCTATAGCAAGCTTATGAAGCAGGAGGAGTAATTTTTTTTCGTTATCTTGATTAAGACAGTTTTAATGTAAATTTTATGTTGTTCCTTGAAAATGTGACGATTTGCAGAATAGCCTAAGTTTAAATGATGGCCCCTCTGGAATTTTGCGGAACCTTTCCCTCTCCAGCTCATCTTCAGGAACAAAGTCCTCCCCATTCTTTACACTGAAGTAGCAAGGGCTTCTGGGATGGTAAATTTGCCTTTGGAAACTCATGCTCACATTTGTTTTAAGAACACATATTAACAAGGCAAAGTCCTTTAATGTGGTGAGACTGTATAGCGCTTTCCCATTGTGGTTGCATAAGGTTCCAATCTAGTCTTTACCTTCAGTCTTTAAAAATGCTTATTTAACTTTTTAAAGAGTAAGTATAATCTTTATGTAGCAGGAAATTGGTCAGACAGGCCTTGGTTTGTGCAAACCACCTCACTATAAATATATAGTAAGACTACCCTATAGATTCTTTAGCCAGAGATGGTTTTTGAAATTCTAAGCTACCATTCGTATTGTGAATCTTTGGCAAAGTGTTTTTTTTTTTAATCAAGTCTAGATTTTTGAGTGAAATTTTAAAAATCGTGTAACCCTTTCATTGATAAAATTTCTCCTATGCTTTCAGTGCATTTGGAGCTAATTTAATAATGTGTCAAACTAATGGACCACTTAAATAAGATAATTGTTTGTTTACTGAAAATGTTTAATTTGAAATAGAGATTTGGGGCCTGAAGGATTAACTAAAATGCATTTAAATAAACATGGTTTAATAAACACTCCTGGATGCACCTTTTACAGTGTGAAGGTGGTACGAATTCTGTAAACCAGCAACTATCAGAAAATAGTACATTTTAAACTGCGATTTGCAACTCATTGTTTTTTCTCTTAGAGATTGCTGACACTGGTCAACTCTTTCAGACTTGCTAATGGCTGGTGGGGCTTTAAGTTTCTCTAGACAAAAGGCGCAAATGGAGTGTCACTGGGCTTTTGGGGAACCTGTTGTTTGCTTTGTGGGACTGAAGGGGGAGAGAAAGATGAAGGATTTCAAAAGATAACAGAAATATGATCAGATAGCTCTTAAATATTCCTTAAGACTTTCCTGACGTTTGTTTGAAAATTAATTTGCAGATCAAGCTTTTCTGTAAGAAATTGACCCTCATCACTCAAGTTTTGACATTAAAAAAATAATAACAGTTTGGTGAAGCTTAGCTGCTGGGACTGGTCCCTTTCTTGCCCTCGAGGGGTCCCTTGCTGGCACCCCTCTCTCTTCCCTCTGGTGCCAGCAACTTGGCTTTTATAACTTTGTGGGAGTTGAACAAATGTTCATTCCTGCTTGAACTTTAGGCCTTATCTGTTTTGCTGCTTTCCCCAACTTTTGCCTACAGCATTTCTTTTCTTTTTCTTTTTTACTTTTTTGGTGGTTAATTGAACTTTCCAGTTGTTTGGATTAGGGGTAAAAAGGAGTAGACTAATTATTTTCTCGTAAAAGATCTTTTCTTTCAGCTCCCGTTGGACCAGAGCAAAGAATGTCCCTCCCCCCCTCCTCTTTCTCTCTTTTATCTCATCAAGGGCTCACTTAATTAAGCAAAATATGCGACCATTTTATTCAACAAACATTTACTGAGTTACCAGCTTCTGTGCTGGGTGCAGAGATAGACAGCCAGCGAGAAATGGCTCCTGCGTTGTGGTGTAGTTGGTGATGAAAAATGAAAACTAGTGGATAATTAGGCATGAGTCCAGTCTTTGGACCTTAACCTGGTACTTTATGTGCATTAAACCTGCTTCAGCGTGCTCACTTCAGGGGCATTTCTTTCCTGGGAATTATTCACTGCACAAATTCTAGCTCATCTTCCCAACTAAGACCCACTTCTTCATTTAGGGCAAAAACATCAGTCATCTTAAAGCCCATGGCCTTTATCGTTGTGAAGTAATAGGACATAGCAGAGTTCTTGGTACTCAGCTTGTCAAATCACTGGATAGAGTAGTGAGAAGCCATGACATCCAGAAGCGTGGGTTGTGCTGACTTGGGACAGGGAACAAACTACCTCTGTTGGAGGGCTACCTGCAGAGAACTTTGAGAATTCTGGTCTGTGGAGAGTGCTAGAGAGTGGTTTTGAAGGGCGTGATTTTGTCCCTCAGGGGATATCCAGTCACGTCTGCAGACACTTTTGGTTGTCACCACTTGGAGTACAGCAGGCTAATGGTGTCTGTTGGGTAGAGACCAGGGGCACTGCTTAAACATTCTTTAACCTTACACAAGGCTACAAAAAATTATCCAACCCCAAATGTCAGTGGTGCTGAGGGTGATGTAATTTCCTCTCCATGGTGCAGTAAAATGTACCTTTAAGGCAGTTGAGAACAATAACACTGTCTGGAGGTGACCAAGTGGTTGGCTGAGTTCACTTTATTAGTCTTAAAAGTGACTAGTCCCTATACATTGACCCAAATAATGAAAAGACAGAAAAAGACACCATTTCTGGTACTTATTCGGTGCCAGGCACCTGTGTCCATCATGAAGTCTCTTAATTTTATAGATGAAGACCCCAGGCTCAGAGAAGTAACTTGTGCTGTGTCTCAAGGCTGGCCGGGGTTGGGAAAATGCTCAAAATTAAGATCGTGTTAATGCTCAGAAGTTCAGTTTGCAATTTAATGGCATCAGTCTCCCTTGTGGCATGCTCCAGTCAAAAACCTTGCCTAACAAAGTTAAAATGAATCTGTATGCTATTGAACTAGCCAGACAGTCATTACAACCAAGAGCATTAAGTCTGCACCTGCTTGGAGTAAGTGACCAGGATAAAGGGAATGGACATTACCTGAAGGGCCCGCTATATAGTTCTAAAAAGTTCAAAAAGTTTGAACTTAAACACACTGTGTGATTTCAGCCTCACAGCAGCTCTGTGAAGTAATTCTGATCCACATTTTACAGATGAGGTTAGTTCAGTAACTTGTTTAAGATTGCACAACTAATTGGAATTTGAACTTAATTTCCACCATTAAGCCACTGTGTCTAAAGCTTGGGGTGGAGGAAGGCAGTGAGTTAGTAGAGTTTGCTACAGAGAGGAGAGTAACTAGTTCTAGACAGAAAACAGGCCCTATCCCTTCCTCTGCTAGAAGATGGGGTTACCTTCAGTGAGAGAATGGAAGGTGAGTTACTGCACCTTCCTTTGTTGGTGAGAGTGCAGTTTGGTGTGGGTTTGTTTCAGGGACCTGCCCACATTGAGACTGTGTCACTTTGGAGAACTTGCTTTTCTGTCTTAACTTGAGTTTTTCAAACAGTGTTTTGGTAACCGCGAAACTGTGTTTATAGCTTTTCAGTGGGCCACCTAGCTTTCTTAGGACTGTCATCTGGAACTTGCAGCATGAGCCTTTAGTTGTGTCATCCTGTTCCACAATTTAAACAATTGTGCTTGCTTATGGAAGTTGTTTTTATAACGTCGTCAAATTCATACTTGTGTTTTCTATATGGGGGGATGTATTTTGTTTTGACAGCTAAATATTTATCTTAACATTTGATGTGTTGTGTTGTAAAGCATAAAAAGAGGGAAAATAAAAAACAGTCCAATAAAAGTCATATTTTGTCTGGCAAGCAGGGTTTTTTTTTTTTTGTGTGTGTGTGTGGGCAAAAGGAGGACCTCATGTTTCATTTCATTTACTCTAAATTGGAAAGGAATTTTAACCATGATTCTCAAGGGCCAGGATGCCTGGGTTGGGGGGAGAGGGAATGAGCTGTTATTTAGATAAAATGCATGTTTTGATTTCCACACAGGACTGTGAGCTACAGATTCTGATTATAATAATAATGTCCTAATTCTGACTCCAGCAATCCACTGCTTGGGTAATCAGCCACTGTATATAGAAGTGTATGGTGATACTGCCAACTGTATCCACCCCTCACAGTGATTTAGAGTCGACTTTGAGAGAGCTGATAAAACTTGCAAGAATGTACTTATCCTTTTGAAAATACAATTTTTGAATGATAACTGGTACATTTACATTATAGGAAAGTTCAGAAAATACAGAAAAGAAAAACCAATTGTAATCCTCTACCCAGAAATTAGTTTCAATATTTTGAATTTTTTAAAGATTTATTTATTTATACATACAAGAGCCTCATAGGGCAAGGGGTGGGGAGGATTTCCCAGAGACAGAGTGGGGAGCAGAACAGGCAGATCGACTGAAATCCTCTGCTGAGGGGAGCAACGGGGAGACAGGAGAGGTCTGCTGCAGGTCAGCTCCCTGGCCGGGGATCAAACTGGTGCTGCAGTGGCTGGCCATAGCTTCACAGTCCTTTGATTTAACCCCTTGTGTCACCAGGGAAGCCCTGTATTTTTTATTAATGGTGGGTTCAAATCTGTTGCAATAATGCCTACGTATAAATGCAGTCTAAGTTATTATTTGGAAACTAGCGCAGATTTTCAGAATTACTGCTGCATCCCTTGAGAAGACATCATGGTGAGCAGGAAGGAAATGCCAGGGGATTAGCGAGCTAGCCTGTGGCCACCTCTCAGAACTGTAAGATTTCTCCTTCTCCAACTTGAGTGATAGAGCTGCTGTGTTATCAGTTCCCACCCGCTGTACTGTGTGTTACAGATG